CTCCAGGAAGTTTCTTTTGGATGCTTTTGACTGAAAGCAACCGAGCTTGCAAATTGCCCACCCTCCACCCCCCACACCATCCCCTCCCCTCCGCACAGAGCATTTAAGGATCTTTCCGTAACAAGTCTGCCTACTGCTGGCAAAGTCCAGCCTCACAAATTCAGAAGAGCCGGCCAGTTCACATCCACGGTTGTCACTGCCCTCTACCGTCCACAGTAAACTTTCCAGCCAATACAGGACCTTTCAGTTCAGAGATACCAGATAGAGACTTCTGGTCTAACTGCGTCCTGAGGGGCATCCTGACCCACGTACCGTCACAGGCTGCAAGCGCAGCTGTCGGGAGGAAGTACGGAGGCCACCCCCTGTACAAGACGGCTTTTCTCTTTTCTCAGTGCTGCCTGGCTTTCAGAAAAAGGAAGCAAAACCTCAGCCAGGGGGTTGATTTTCACATGGGGCTCTTAACTTTTCTTGCAAGTCCTGCTGCAGGGCGATCTCTTAGAGAGGCTTTCTCCAAGGCCCTGGGGGGAAGCATTCAATCTCTGCCCCCCACTGCATTCTCGCTGTCCCTCCCGTCTGCCCCTTCTTACGTTCTCCATGTTATTGGAGCCCAAGTCTTAGCTGGGAGTGGCTGGAGGGGGGCCAGGACAGGAGGTGTGAGGCTGGGACAAAGCTGTGGCTTGAACAGATGCTAAGCAGATCCAGGCTGGCGTTTTCCTCCTCCTCTCCCTTCTGGGCTCCCGCTGCCCTGCACCTGGCTCCTTCAGGTCAGCGGGCACACCCTGTTACCCTGTCTCAAGAGCTCCTGAAAGGTCCGTGCTCAGCACCCGCCATAACCCATCTGCTGAACAAAGAAAGCACCATGGAATCCTGAGCCCTGCTTGCTTTTATTCCCGTTTCTCAAGCTTCCCTATTTTCTTCAAGGCGGGGCCACACATGAGCCTGGCACTGGTGGTACCTCTCTGCTCCTCGAGTAAAGAATAACCACCCCCTTCCCATGCTGGGAGAAGTGAGACAACAAAACATCCTTAATTTGGCCACGTTTACTGAGTTTCACTAGATAAAATCAGAATAGAAAATAGTAAAATAATATATACATATATACATATAAACATATATATATGTTTTGCATGCCTGGAACTACGAGTTAGTGCATTTGTTCTTGCTCTGCTTACAACCAAGGAAGTCTTGACTAGAAGACAAAGTAAAAGAAGAATGGGAGTATCAAGTCAGCCAAGGGTGACGCTGAGAACGAGGAGCTGGTTGGACAGAGTCTGGACAGTGAGAACAGGTTATTTTATGCGGGTTATCAGAGGCTGCTGGGAAAACAATTTCAACAGCTTTGGGGCAAAAGCCAGGCTGTAAGGGGCTAAGAACAGATGAATGGTGAAGAAGGAGGTTCCCACAGACACGTCTGGCAGGGCCAGGTGGGAGGGGAGTTTTGGTGGGTTGGCCAGACAGGGGTTCTCCAAGATCAGGAAGTCAGAGCCTATGTCAAGGCCCAAGAAGGAGCCTGCAAGGAGGGATTAGACAAGAAGGGAGGGTCACGGGAGACCAGGGACTGTGCAGGGAGATGAAGGAGGAGGAGGGGTTTGCCCCTGCTAGGAGCCGGAAATGGAGGCGGGGAGGGCATTGAACGGAGAGAGAATCATGAACAGGGATAGAATCACCGGGAGCGTCCTGGTGTCTCTGTTTGTTGGAAGGCAAGGTGAGCTGCCCAGAGTTAGAGGAAGAAGGCAGACAGGGCATTTAGGAGACCGAACGTAATCTAGAGCTGCATGCAAGAGCTGGTCCAGGAAACTGCCAAGCTGCTGCAAGGGTGGCAGGGTTGCCACTGCTGCTGCTGCCAATCTCAGGGATAGCTGCTGCAGACCACGTTTACTGGGGCCAACTCCTCCTGCTATCATGGTACAGTGCATCGTATGCAGTAGCTCCATGCAGAATCTGCAGAAAAATTTGATGATGCTGAGCCAGTACGTTCTGTCATTCTCCCCATTTTGCAAAAGCAGCAACTGAGGCTTAGAAAGAGTAGGTGGCTTCCCCAGATGGGAGCTGGGGTTGGTCATCATCTAATTAAACTAAAGAGCTTCTGCACAGAAAAAACAAAGAAAACAATAACAAAAAACGATAAACAGAGTAAACAACCGATAGAATGGGAAAAATATTCGCCAACTATGCATTTGACAAAGAAATAATATCCAGAATCCACAAGGAATTTAAACAAATCAATGAGAAAATAAAACAACCCCCCTTAAAAAGTGGGCAAAGGACATGAACAAGACACTTTCAAAAGAAGACACAGAAGCAGCCAACGAATGGATGAAAACAAATGCTCATCATCACTGATCACCAGAGAAAAGCACATCAAAACCACAGTGAGGTCCCATCTCACACCAGTTAGAACGGCTATTATTAAAAAGTCAAAAAATAACACATGTTGGCGGGGTTGCAGAGAAAAGAGAACGCTTACACACTGATGATGGGAATGTAAATTAGTTCAGCCACTGTGGAAAGCAGTTTGGAGATTTTTCAAGGAACTAAAAACAGAATTACCAGTCAACCCAGCAATCCCATTGCTGCATTACTGGGGATACACTCAAAGGAAAATAAATTGTTCTGCCAAAAAGACACTTGGACTGCACGTTCATTGCAACACGACTCATTAGAGCACAGACAAGGAATAAATCTAGGTGCCTATCAATGGTGGGTTGAATAAAGAAAATGTGGGCTGGGCACAGTGGCTCACACGTGTGATCCCAGCACTTTGGGAGGCCAAAGCAAACTGGATTGCCTGAGTCCAGGAGTTTGAGACCAGCCTGGGCAACATGGCAAAACCTGTCTCTGCTAAAAATACCAAAAACTGGCTGGGCGTAGTCCCAGCTACTCAGGAGGCTGAGGTGGGAGGATCACTTGTGCTCAGGAAGTCAAGGCTGCAATGAGCCCAGGTAGAGCCACTGCACTCCAGCCTAGGTGACAGAGTGAGATTCTACCTCATAAAAAAAAAAAAAAAAAAAAAAAAAAACAAGAAAATGTGGAACGTATATACCACAAAATACCATGCAGCCATTGAAAACAACAAAATCATGTCGTTTGCAGCAACATGGGTGCAGCTGGAAGCCATTAACCTAAGTGAATTCATGCAGAATCGAAAAACCAAACAGCACGTGTTCTGACCTATAAGTGGGAAGTAAACCCTGGGTACTCACAGACATAAAGACGGGAACAATAGACACAGAGGGACTACTGGAGTGGGAGGGGGAGGGGGCAGGGGCCAAAAAAACACCTGCTGGGAATTGTTTCAGCTGAAGTCCAAGCCTCAGCATCATGCAATATATCCATGTAACAAACCTGCGTATGTACCCCCGAATCTAAAATTTAAAAAAATCCAGGTCATTGGCCCTCTGAGGGATTTCCCATGGACTCATCTGTCCCGCTCTGGGACTTCTGATGCAGGAGCAGGGCAGAGGCTGAGGACGCAGAGGGTGGTGTTGCCTGGAAAGAAGGTGAATTTGGGGGTCCCTGATGGGAACTCCCACATCCAAGGGGCTCAGAGATGGCAACAGAGGGCAGAGCCAGGCAAGTTCTGAGGGTGCCAGGAGGCTGTGGTGACCACCTGGAGGCTTCAGAATCACAGGGAAGCTACCGAGAAGGGGTGTCAGCAGATGAAGAAGAGGAGGCGGGAGGGCTGGAAACAGATCCCTGACTGAGTGGTGAACTGGGGGAAATGGTGGACTCTGGTGCCGCTGCCTATGACGGAGAGGCCTGGGGACAGTTCTCCGGTGCCAGCCTCACTGGTGCCACTGCCTACGACGGGGAGGCCTGGGGACAGTTCTCCGGTGCCAGCCTTATCTCACACCCTTGCCTGCTACAGCCCTCCTGACACACTGGCCATGGCTTCCACATGCTTGCATTTGCTCAGACGTCCTTTTGCCCAAATGTCTTTGTGTTGGCTCCCTAGCCTTGTGTTTCCTTTAGACCAAATGCAGAGGAGGCCTGGCCTGCCCAAGGTCATGCTCACTGTGCTAGAAGCTGGACCCGGTATCTGGTCCGCTGCTTGACGTCATTTTATCTTTACAGCAACCTTATGAGAGAGGTGAAGAGACGAAGTGACTAGTTCAAGGTCACACAGCCAGGAAATGGTGGGGCCAAGACTGGAGCCCAGGACTGCTCACATGCATGGAATATGGCACGGGTGATTCCAGCAGAGATCTTGGGATCCTCGGGCCCTGAGCAGGGAAGAATGCTTCCACGCCAGGGCAGTGGAGAAATCATGTGTCCTTGAGGCGCCAACCCCCAGGACACCTGTCCCCTGTCCCAGTCCCTAGAGCTGCCAAGAGGCTCAGCCTCGCTTCCTCCACCTCCAGCTTCTGTAGGACCAAGAAACCAGGTACAAGCAGCTGCAGCAGCAGGGAGCAGCAGGGAGCAGCAGGGAGCAGCAAGGGAGGGCTCAGCAGAGCTCCACTTGGCTGGGGTCCACGCTCAGGGGGAAGAAGCTGGAGCACCTTGCACTGAAGGGAAGGGAGTGTCATGCTCATCACTCACTCTTTTGTTTCTCACAAATCAGGAGGGAAACAGTCATGGGAACCCATATACACACGCACATGTGCAGAAGGCAGCATTCCCATACTGGTTCTCATGGGTGAAGCACAAATGGAAGAAGGAATATAAGTGACTGCTGGGGCTGGGCCTGGGTGTGATAATACCTCCAGCACAAATACAGCAGGCAGGAGTTCTCCCTTCCACAGCCATGTACAGACCCCGGATCAGGGCTGGGAAATCTCTGGGCCGTGGCGGCTAGGCTTGCCGAGTGAGAGATCACAGTGTGATCGCAGATTAGAAGAGGGACTTGGTCCCTGCGGTCAGTTTCCTCTACTCTTAATCCTGCAGGGATTTCCAGCTGCAGGGAGAGCCTGCAGGGACAAAGAGCTCCAGATAAAACTGCCAGCTCTGGACCCAAGCAAGCGCACATGGATCCCAGGAGAGGGAGACGGCAGAGTACGTACTTGACGTTGGTGTTGGTGCAGATGATGTACTCGATCTCATCAGAATAGGGATTCTGGAACGTGAAGCTGCTGGTGCGGATCAACATCCACTCCCGGTTCTTGGTGCGAAATCGATACATGACCGGACAGTACTTGGCCTTTCAGCTTAACCACCTGAGAAAATATTTGGAGAAGGAAGTCAGCAGGAGGAAGGAGGGTGCCAAATGGGAGGAGGGAGAGGCAGCAGGCAGTGCAGTGGTGGCAGGGGCCAGCAGGACCTCAGAATAGGGGCACTGTGGCTAAAGGACAGTAAGAGAGGGACAGCCGTTCTGCAGTGGGACCTTCTCCGCCTACCTCTGGGTGCAACGAACGGGGGGTGCTGCATTCGGGTTATTCTGTAACCACGGTGTGAGAAGGCCACCAGTCAACGCCTGCTTTATAGCAGGACTTTTAACTTAGCTTTTACAAATCAGACCATGAAAACTCTGCGAGCCAGAGTGTTTTTCTTTTTGCCTTGGCTGCTAGGGTACTCTGGGTTTGGTACCAGCCACTCACCCCCAAGTTATCCCACTCGGTATGTAGCTACATTATATTCACAGATTTATTACTTGCTACCACAACATACAAGATGCTTAACCTCTGCTTAACATCATAAAATGGATTCAATAGACTCTCTGGTAGGAGACGTAATGAAACGATAACTTTCTGTGCATTATTTATTTATTTGTAGGTTTCTGTCTATTATCCTTTGATGTTGTGATATGATTTCAAATGTATTGCTTCAGAAATAGCCTCACAAGAGTTTGGTAAGATGAGTTTTATTATTTAGAGCTGATAATACTAAGACTCAGAGAAATTAAATACGTCATTCAAGATGAGACAACTTTGGTGGGACAGCTGGGACAGGAAGCAAGATCTTATTTCCAAATCACGAGATTGTCCCCCTGGCTACACAGATCTCCCCTTTGTTCTATGAAAATACACTCCAGCCTGGCCAGCACGGCGAAACCCCCTCTCTACTAAAAATACAAAAGCTAGCCAGGCCCCACGCCTGTAGTCCCAGCTACTCAGGAGGCTGAGGCATGAGAATTGCTTGAACCCAGGAGGCAGAGGTTGCAGTGAGCCGAGATCGCGCCATTGCACTGCAGCCTGGGTGATGGAGTGAGACTCTGCCTCAAAAAAAAAAAAAAAAAAAGAAAAGAAAAAGAAAAAAAAGAAAATAAATAAAATATACAGCAGTGCCCCTTATCCAAGGGAACTACAATCTGAAACCCCCAGTGCATGCCTGGAATTGTGCATAGTACCAAACCCCGTAGATGGTATGCTGTTTCCTATACACACAGACCTATCATCAAGTTTATAAATTAGAAACGGTAAGAGATTAACAATAATAACTCATAATAAAATGGAACAATTATAGCAATATGGCAGCATCACTATTCTTGCACTTTGGGGTTGTTTTTAAGTAACATGAGGGCTACTTGAATGCCAGCTTATGGTACTGTCGATCTCATAACGGAGATGGCCAAGAGACGAAAGGGCAGACAGCGAGCATAGTGTGGACACAGTCGCCACAGGAAGGACCCATGACCCAGGCTGAACAGAATGGGGAGGGACAGGGTTTCATCATGCTACTCAGAACAGCACACAATTTAAAACTGAAGAGTTCCTTCTGGAATGTTGCATTTAATATTTTTGGACTCTGGTTGACTGCTGGTAACAGAAATGAAAAGCAACACTGCAGGTAAAGGGCAACTGCCGTACACATCATATGCACACCCAGCAAACCGGAAACGGAAATACACACGCACGTGTGCAGAAGGCAGCATTCCCACGTGGTTCTCATGGGCGAAGCACAAATGGAAGAACGAATATAAATGACTGCTGGGGCTGGGCCTGGGTGTGATAATACCCCCAGCACAAAATACGGCGGGCAGGAGTTCCTCCCTCCACGGCCATGTGCAGACCCCAGATCAGGGCTGGGAAATCTCTGGGCCGTGGTGGCTGGGCTTGCTGAGTGAGAGATCACAGCGTGATCACAGATGAGAAAGGGGACAGCGGTCAGGGAAGGCTCGCCCGTTCCTCACCCCCACCACACCTGTGGTCTGTTCTTCGGTGTTGTCTGCCGTCTTGGCCAGACTGTACGCAGCATGGGGACAGGGACGTCTTGGTCACCTGTGTCTACCTATCTCTGTCCTCAAGCCCTGCAAGGAGCAGGCTCTCAGAGCACACTTCCTGAAGTGACTCAGTGGTGTGCTGGCCCCACAGCTGGGGCTCGCCATCCTCCTTCTGTACTGTCCCTAGGGGAAGCCGGACAAAATCTGAGCCTGAGGATGTCAGATAAGACTCCCTGGCAGGAAATCCCTGAGTGATAAATAAACCAAACCAAGAGCTCTGGGAGGGTGGGAGGCTGTCCCTGACACCACGGAAGAGGAGGCTGAGCTGTGGAGTAAGCAACGCTGGGCACGTCTGCAACCCAACAACAACCTGGCCCTTCCCTTGTGGGGCTGGAGTCAAGGCCATGTGCCCCTAGGGTCAGCATTCTGAGTGGTGTCCAAGGGCACGTCTCTGTGTCTGCACTAAAAACATGGGGTATAGGGAGTCACTGTCCAGGTTTCAAAACCCACATCTTCTGCACTCTGAGGATGCACAGAAAAGGAGGTGCTTTTTTTTTGGTTTGTTTCTTCTAACTAGAATGTCTGAGATAGTGTGAAATTTGTTAGCTCCACGCAACAGAGCACGTGGAAGGCAGCACCTTAGGAGCTGTGAAAAGAGAACAGAATGGAGCTGACAGTTCTGCACCCTCCTGGGGCCACAGTTATAGGCTAAGGACCTTAGACGTGTTAGCTCAGGCAGTCCTCACAACAGCATTTTGTGAACCTGGACATTGAGCCTCAAAGGAGTTAAATACCTTGCCTAAATAAAGGCTTATGTGACCTTAAACCTAGATCTACCTGGCCCCAAAGCCCTTTCCATCAACCCCTATTGCCAATGCACCATCTCTGTCCTCAGTGAGCCTCTCAGCCAGCAGGTGAAGGATCAGCGTGTCGATAACTATAACCCAGAGAGTATGCTCGATGCCACTACAGAAACTCAAGATGAAGTGCCATGGGGTTACCAGGAGGGCCAGGAGAGGCAGCCTGCAGTCAGGACCTGAAAACGGCTCCGGGAGGGAACTAGAGTGTGGAACACATTTGGAGAGCGGGTAAAGGGTTGGCAAGTGAAGATGTGTGGGGAGGGCGCTCCTGGCAGAAGGCACGGCATGGGCAAATCCTGGGAAGCTGGGATACCTGAGATGTCATGGGGACTGGCTATGCATGGTGCTGGTGACACGGTCCTGGGCCTTCAGGCCAGCATGGTGCACATGCTGTACCTAACCCAGGTGCAATGCAGGAGGTGGCAAGGTCAAGCATAAAACCCAGCTTAGCATGGCTCTTCAAGAAAACAGCCCCCTTCATCATCCTCATCATCATGGAAGGTGCCTGAGCAGAAAGGAGACGGGTGAGATGGGAGCCTGCTTTCACTTTCCCGGAGTTCAGCTCTTTTTGACCTACAGGTAAACCTGTGATCCGGAGAAGGAATCCAAGAGCAGGTGCAGTTTCCCGGCCCCTGGCTGGCTCGCTGTCACAACTCAAATTCCTCACAAACTCAATCAAGTTCTAAGGGCCACCTCTGGGCTATTCAAGTGCTTTTGTTTAAATCCAGAGTTCAAGAGCTGGCTCTTAGCTGACATAGCCACCTCCCTGCTTTTGCAAGAAGAAGCCACTTCCCTTTATCAACATTTGATCCCCGCCTCAGCTGTTGGTGGCTGGAGACCAAAGAACACAAGCACGGGACCGAGGCGCGGCGTGTTCCAGGATGTCCCTGCGGCTGCTCGGCCGCTGCTCACTGTGCCCTGTGGCCCGGGCTGGGGCTGGGGCTGCCAGCATCACTGTCTCGGCCTCCCCTCCTGCTGGAGGAATGCGGTGGCCGCTTACAGAGTGAGAGGTACTTAAGTGGATGTCGGGGTGAGATCAGATGTCAATTCCTTCTCTGTTTTTTCAAAACCAACCGGGTTCTGACAGTGTCAGCAGTGTGAAGCCTCTGATGTGCTGCTGGATGGAGAGGCCTGTGTGCGGGGTGTGGTGTTGTGATTGGATGCATTGGAGGGAGGCAGGCCTGGGCTCTGCGACCTGGGGCAGGGAACCGCACCCCCCAGAGTCTACTGTGAAAAAAGTGGGGCAGACAACACTTACTGTGTAGGTGTGAGGACTGCATGAGATAGTGAAATGGGTCTGGCCAGTTACTGGGCACTGAATGGCGGCCCCATCACTGTGAAAGCTTCCATTTCCACGAACCCAGAAAAATGAAGCCCACCCAACCCAAACCTGACTATTCTAAACGATACAAAGTTTATCATAATCTCCACACAGTTAGCAAACACACAGCACAAAAACACAAGATTTAAACACTCCAATTTCACATGTTTCCCAAATGAAAGTCACCTGCTACGGGTTTTGATCCATTTAGATTGCTTTGTTAAGAGTCACCCTGGTGCTGGATTCTACAATCAGTGGTAAAGATGAGGATGCCTACCTCCTCCGACTACCGTGCAGATTCAACAGCACATGGGGTAGGGTTTCCCACAGTGTTTGACACACAGTAGGTGCTCGGCACACAGCGGCTAACAGTCACGATGTGCATGACACTGTTAATGGGGTGGCCACATTCTCGGGTTCCCAGGTCATCCTGAATCCCCGTCCCACCTGATCATGTCTATCCAAAGCCTCGGCACCCAACAACCGTCTCCTCAAGCTGCCCCCTATTTTAAATTCCCACGGCTCCTGCTCACAGTTCTGGTCTCATCGCCTCTTACCTGGACAATTTTAAAAGCCTCCTGTCTGTTTCCAGTTATTTTCCCTACCTGTCTCTTCTGTATACCTGGACTACTAAAGTGCCTTTTCAAAAACACTGCTCTGTAAAATCCTCAAAGTCATCCTCATTTACCTTTATTTTATTTATTTATTTAGACAGAGTCTTGCTCTGTCACCCAGGATGAAGTGCAGTGGTGCGATCTCGGCTCACTGCAACTTCCGCCTCCCAGGTTCAAGCAATTCCTCTGCCTGAGCCTCCCAAGTAGCTGGGACTACAGGTACGCACCACCATGCCCAGCTAATTTTTGTATTTTCAGTAGAGATGAGGTTTTGCCATGTTGACCGGGCTGGTGTCAAACTTCTGGCCCCAAGTGATCTGCCCACCTTGGCCTCCCAAAGAGCTGGGATTACTCGTGTGAGCCACTGCGCTGGCCCACGCTTACTGACTGAGTAGAGAATCTATTGCTTTAGCATGGCTTAAGAGGCCTTTCAGAACTTGGCTGTACCGGGTTCATTTATCAGCACTGCCCACCACCTCCTACAAGTTGGCCAGTGTCACTCCAGCTACTAGGAGCTGCTTAGGATTCTCTCTTTTGCATCTCTAGGGCTGCCCCTTCAGTCTGGAATGTTCACTCATTTATTCTATGCCCATCCTTTAAGACCCATCCCAATTGTTCTTTCCCCAGGAACAATTCCTGCCTCTTCCCCACGCAGTTAATCTCTCCAGCCTCTGCAGTCTGCAGTCTCTTTCTTTATGACCCTTTAAAGTTCTTCTCCTATTACACAGTAATTGTTTATTAATGTATGTCTGTCTTCCCTACTAGACTGTGAGTGCCTTCCCAGTAGGGGCCCTGACTGAGGTCGTAGGTAGGACCTTGCAGCCTGCTTGGCACACAGTAGGACTAATGTCCTGCCAGCCGCATCCGCAGGTGCCCAGACTGTGCATCAGCTTTAAGTGGGCACCGGCAGTATGTACCTGCTGGAAGCTCTCACGCAGATGGCTCTGATCCTCAGGGTGGCAGAATTCCAAAATGTCCTTTCCCAGAAGATCCTAAATAAAAGAGACAAGCTTTATTAATCACAGATCCACTTGTAATTACGTATATACTCACTGTGAGACAATAATGTTCACTTCCATCTCCTTTAATTCATCTCCTTTAGCCTGATCTACCCCAGACTTTTTAAAAAGTGAATGCCAAGCCGGGCACGGTGGCTCACACCCGTAACCCCAGCACCTTGGGAGGCTGAGGCGGGCGGATCACGAGGTCAGGGGTTTGAGAGCAGCCTGATCAACATAGTGAAGCCTGGTCTCTACTTAAAAATACAAAAATTAGCCAGGCGTGGTGGTGCACACCTGTAATCCCAGCTAGTTGGAGGCTGAGGCAGGAGAATTGCTTGAACCTGGGAGGCAGAGATTGCATGAGCCGAGAGAGTGCCATTGCACCCTAGCCTGAGTGACAAAGCAAGACTCCGTCTCAAAAAAAAAAGTGAATGCCAAATTTCCCTGGGAGCCATCAGGGAACTGGCTTCCTGGTATTCATTCTAAGTTCCTTTGGCATGCTCAATAACAATTTCTAATTTTGCTAAAGCACTACATCCGTAGCTTCAAAATGCAATTTTATTTTTGTTAGTCTTGGAGAGGCAAACTGTAATAAACATATTTTAAAAACATAAAAAGAAAGCAAAATGATAGCCTGAGGACAGATGTGTTGCCTATGAAAACCAGAATTGTTTAAATGTGGAAATTGTAGCTCTCCTGTGACTGAAGAAACGAGGTTATCATAAAATAACTGTACTTGTTAAAAGCCTGTTTACTATCTATCTACTGCCATTAGTCTATGCTATATTCAAAGGACACAGCATTAGCCCAGAACAAAAGTGTGTTTCACAATGAAACTGATCAGAATAAGACACATTGTTAACAGATAACTTCAAAAGTGTTGTAGTAAAGTGGTCCAGTTGAAAATGTCTTTTTTTTTTTTTTTTTTGAGAAGGATTTTCACTCTTTTCTCCCAGGCTGAAGTGCAGTGGTGTGATCTTGGCTCACTGCAACCTCTGCCTCCAGGGTTCAAGTAATTCTCCTGCCTCAACCTCCCGAGTAGCTGGGATTACAGGCATGCACCATCATGCCTGGCTAATTTTTGTATTTTTAGTAGAGACGGCATTTCACCATGTTGGTCACGCTGGTCTCTAACTCCTGACTTCAAGTGATCCACCCACCTCAGCCTCCCAAAGTGCTGGGATTATAGGCATGAGCCACATGCCTGGCCACGAAGTGTCTTAAACAGCAAAAGGTTTAAACTAACTCATTGATCACCCAAATCAGCAAACGGCCTAAGTGAGCTCTGATGCTGGCACTGGAGGGGAAGTCCTATCTGCGTGCCAAGGAGCAACTGGATGCCCATGGGAGGTGCCACTGGATAAATGGGTCTGGCTGGAAATATATCGCCATCAGAGGTCGGGGTGAATTTGGAAATAAATCCATTTCTCCCATTATTCTATCCAAGAATCTCGAGGTTTACATGAATCTAGAGATGCAGAATTATAGGCAGGGTCCTAATAGTTCTAGTTTGAGTTGTTTCTAGTTCTAAAATACACATCATTAAAATACTCTTATCTACATATCTGAAGCTCTGCTCCTCAGAATAAACATCTTTTTTCTTTTAAAAAAAAGTTTTATATTTTTAAATAAATTTAAATCTACAGAAAAGTTGATAGTACAATAAATTTTATGTATATTCAATAATTATCAATATGGTTGTCATATTTGCATTTTCCTTTTTTCATGTGTATGTATATGTTCACACATATGCATGTATATACTTAACTTCTTGCTGAACCATTTGAAAGTAAGTTGTAGGCATCATGGTACTTCTCTTCAAAGTACTTTAACATGTATCTCATAAAAATGAGATTATCTTACAAAACGGCAATGTGCTAGATCATGTGCTATACTAAACCCAAGAAAATCAATTATTCAATGACATCACCCAATATTCTGTACAGATTAACATTTCAGTTGTCTCCCAAATGTTTTATCTATCAATATGTTTTCAGGCCCAGGACACAATTCAGGCCCTTAGATGACATATTATTATTTTATCTCTTTGGTCTATTTTAGTCTGGGACAATTGCTTCTGCTTGCTTGTTTCTCATGACGTTGACTTTTTTTTTTTTTTTTGAGACGGAGTTTCGCTCTTGTTACCCAGGCTGGAGTGCAATGGCGCGATCTCGGCTCACCGCAACCTCCGCCTCCTGGGTTCAAGCGATTCTCCTGCCTCAGCCTCCTGAGTAGCTGGGATTACAGGCACGCGCCACCATGCCCAGCTAATTTTTTGTATTTTTAGTAGAGACAGGGTTTCACCATGTTCACCAGGATGGTCTCGATCTCTCGACCTCGTGATCCACCCGCCTCGGCCTCCCAAAGTGCTGGGATTACAGGCTTGAGCCACCGCGCCTGGCTGGTGATGCTGACTTTTTAAAAAAGAGTCCAGAACAAAGACTTAAAGATGTGCCACCTGGATAAATAAGTTTCCAAATGCACTTGAGAAACCAGAGGTTAGGCAAAATTAGGCAGCTATATTTACCAGGCTTTGCAGTCTTTGACATTAATGAGCCTTGTGATGAATATTAATTAATAAGAGAGCCCCTTTTAATGGAATATCTTAACTCCAGTTTGTGAAAAATCAACTAGAGAAACATAACAGCGAGGGCAAAGAAGAAAGAGTCCCTGTTGAATGGTGCAGGTGTTTACAACGTCCTTTCTTGACTTGGAAGGATATCTATCCAAAAGAAAGCATATCTATCCAAAGATGAAAGAGTTCACGTTAATGGCACAGGTGTTTACAACATCCTTTCTTGACTTGGAAGGGTATCTATCATTCTATCCAGGCAGGGTACATGGCTTTTTACGATATTTCTCCACATGGCCATTGTGTTGTATCTCAAACAAATGAGGTAAGAATGTTTTGAGAAAAATTAAACCTCTAGTCAATTGCTATGAGCTCAAAACTGTCTACTGACCTGGGGTTGGTAGCCAATGACACTGATACACCTTGGATCTACAAATGTGATGATTCCATCAGAGTTATGCCGAGATAAGAACTCCGTGGGCACTGACATCCCGTTCATGTCCATGCATACAGGAGAGCTGGTCACCTGGGATGGGGACAGTCCACAGTTGAGGAGGTGTTGACAGAGATGACATGGAGATGGTGACAGAGATGAGAAGAATAATCCACGTGCATTTAACTTCAAAGATCCTTCCATGTCATTTAGTACAATGACTCTAAAGTGTTCAAACGTCCCTGGTCCCATCTTTAACTGTAACAGTTGACCATTTTCTTTACATTTATGAACTTCAGTTGCCTTATCAACCAACGGGAATAATAAAACCTGTAATCTCATAGGGTGTTTGTGAGGCTTCAAAGGGATGTTGCATGTTAAACCTTGGCATGTGCTTATGTTGGTGCTTAATAAATGCTAATACCCTTCTCTTCTCCCACTTCCCTTTACTAAGAATGGCAAACGAGCCTAAGGAACTAGTTAAAATACTTGGAGCATATATATTTGTGAACTGAATTTACCCAAAGATTCTCTCTTCACCCATCTGCAAGCAATACCAGTGCTGGTCATACATAGATGAAATTGCCTATTCATTTGCCTGAAAATGGTCAGACCTAGGAAACCAGCCACATGAAAGATGAGTGTGTCTTAACCAGGTCTGGTACGTCTCTCCTCTTCAGCATAGAGAAGACCCTCAGTGTCCTAAGGAGAATGAACCGTCCAGTTGAATGAGTGGTTACTGTGTGGGCCAGACATTGAGCACATTTAATTTTCACACAATAAAAGACATGCTTCAGGCCAGGCACAGTGGCTCAAACCCATAATCTTTAGAAGCCCAAGGTGGGAGGATCGCCAGGTCAGGAGTTCGAGACCAGCCTGGCCAGCATGGTGAAACCCCATCTCTACTAAAATTACAAAAAAATTAGTTGGGCATGGTGGTATGCGCCTGTAATCTCAGCTACTCAGGAGGCTGAGGCAGAAGAATTGCTTGAATCCACGAGGCAGAAGTTGCAGTGAGCCGAGATAGCACCACTGCACTCTAGCCTAGGCGACAGAAAGAGACTCTGTCTCAAAAAAAAAAAAAAAAAAAAAAAAAAAGACATGTTCCCTGGCCTTGAGGAGTTGCAGGGGATGAGCTCGCACTCAACTTACTTCCTGCAACAGACAGTGAAAGAAGGGTAACTGAGGGTAGAGCTCAGTGCTATGAGAGTGAGGAGGAGAGAATGACTGATTTAGACTAAGATCAGGGAGACAATTTAGCTGGGTCTTGAAAGATGAGCAGATAAGGAGGATAAGAAATATTGAAAGGAGAAGAAGGGAACAGGGGAATACCAGGCAAAAGAGCCTGTGAACACTCCCAAAGGTGGGGTTCATGGAAAGGGGAAGGGTGCTATGTGGGAATAAGACGTGAGAGAGGAAGAAGGGAAGGAGATGAGGTCATTGTAACCGGGTTTTTTGGGGTGCGGGGGAGGCACAGCTCCCCGGAGAGAATGTTGTAGGTTCTTGGTCTCTACTATCTCAAGAATGAGAGAGGGGACCACTGCAGGTACGTGGTAAGCTCATAACGTAAAAATACTAGACCCGGCCGGGCGTGGTGGCTCAAGCCTGTAATCCCAGCACTTTGGGAGGCCGAGGTGGGTGGATCACAAGGTCGAGAGATCGAGACCATCCTGGTCAACATGGTGAAACCCCGTCTCTACTAAAAATACAAAAAAGTTAGCTGGGCGTGGTGGTGCATGCCTGTAATCCCAGCTACTCAGGAGGCTGAGGCAGGAGAATTGCCTGAGCCCAGGAGGCGGAGGTTGCGGTGAGCCGAGATCGCGCCATTGCACTCCAGGCTGGGTAACAAGAGCGAAACTCTGTCTCAAAAAAAAAAAAAAAAAAAATACTAGACCCAAGAAGTGTTGCAGAAAGGTGATTTTATTTAGGTAGAGAAAAGAGGGAGAAAAAAGGAGGAGAAGAGAGACAACTTCCACGAAGGAGGACTCCGGATGGGAAATCCAGGAGAGAGAAAGATGGCTTCCACGAGGGTGGAAGGGGACCCAAACATGCAGTCCCAAGGGGTGTGGAAGAAGGGGACTTCGAACCCGGGGGGAACCCCCACCTTCTCCAAGACCTCTGGCCAATGAAAGGAGTGCCTTGGAACTTCCGCTGGAGTGACTTGACTTTTGACCCTTTGCAGCGCCCGCAAAAATTAAAACAGAGACCGTTAAATCTCCCGGATGGAGAGAGATGGGAGCGGGGCATGGCGCTGGCAAGTTCTTGCCCTTAAAACTACACTCCCTCGTGGACCTGCAAAGAGGACACATTCCCTCATCATGATGAGCTTGGACCTTCTCCCATAGACCCTGGGGAAACAGTCAAGGGGGTGAAGCTGGGATGTGACGGCAAGTTCCTGGCAACCCCCAAGCGTGGGTGATGAGCTGATGCAAACCCTCAACGCAGCAACAACTCTGCTTACAGCTCACAGTCCCCTTCTCCTCTAGATTTGGCCTCAGCCTTGTCCCACAGAGTGAGACACGAAACCCAACAAACACCAAGAACACAGGTGATCAGAACAGGCATCCGGACCGACAGTCTTCTGCACTTTGTGGCAATAAGCCTTCATTTGAGATTTAAAGGGCTATGAGTTTTTCTTACCTGGAGTCTCCCAATTGCCACGAGGCAATATTTACTGCCTTGCCCCACATCAGCGTCTTCTTCAGGTATCGTCATTCCTGAAACGGGAAATGTCACGGTCATCAACAATACGCCCAAGGTGAATGGGAAAGAAGAAAGGTGTCCATGATTTTATTTAAGCAATCGAAAATACAGATGGCGTGTTGGCCATGCAGCACTGGGAAGCCAACCGATGAATTAACCAGTTCCTCACTCAGTTCCTGCTTCTGTCTCTGCCTGATGTCTTTTGGTAATTTTATGGTACAATATCATCTGGATCTGTGGATGATGCAGAAGAAATTAAGGAAGATGAAATGAAAATAATTCATCTATACATCTGTACAATTTGGACAAAACATTGAGTTGGGAGGTTTTAGTAAGAAGCTGATACGGGTCTTTCAGCTTATGTCAATATCTCTTATCTGCTGACAAAGAATGAAACAAAGACCATCACAGGCAAAAGAAATCCAAATAAAAACCACTGAGGCTGGTTACTAACTTGTTAGGCAAAGGGGCACAACCCGTGTTTCCCCATGTGGTAGAAAGGCAGGGTTTTTTAAGGACTAGAAAGGCGACACTGGTGCTCCAGAAAGAAAGGAACTGGTTAAAATAATCCTCACTGTTCACTGGGGTTAGAAGACAGTCTTCTGTTTGGTCCAGTGTGGGTCTGGTATCTGGGTCCCTCACAGTGCAAGGTTCTCAAACATCTGTAGCTGGTTAGAACTGTTGTAGTGAAAACAAGCACTCCTTTTTGACATTCCAGCACTCACAGGCAAGTGCTGTCAAGTAGAAATTTTCCTTTTACACTGCATGATACTTAACACAAATATTTCCACACTGGGTCGAACCAAGGGTTGACAGTGATAGAGTCACACAAGTACAGCAACAGCCCCTCACTACAGACATTGAGGGGCACGTTAAACATCACTATGGTTTTGTGAGCTGGAGAAATGTCACTCCCACCCACGACATTCCCGTCTTCTTTCCATCCCTGTTCCATCCACTCTCTGCAGGTGATCAGTCTCTTTCATTTCTGGTTTATCCTTGCTGCATTTCTTTTGCACAAATGTGCAGATACACGTACATTTTCTTGTGTCCTTTTCTTTCTTCTATGAAGAGCTGTTTACCGTAGCTACACTTGGGCTTTGCTGACGTCACTGAACGGTATGTCCTCCATGTTCATTTTCATTTCACTTTCATTTATTTTCATTCATACAGCTCTTCCTCAATTCTTTTTGTTGACTGCATAGTGCTTCATCTTACCGACGTGCCATGGTCTATTCAACCACTCTAAATACTGGATGTTTAGGTGCTTCCAATATTTTCCAATGAGAAACAACACTGCGATGAATAACCTTGGGCATCTGCGTTTTATTATTATCAGAAGTGTATCTTCAGAGTGGTTCCCTAGAAGTGGGGTTGCTGGGCCAAAAAGTAAGTACATACGTAGCTTGACTTTGCCAAACTTTCCTCCAGAAGGGTTGCACCAATTTGCATTCCCACCAGGAATGTATGGGAGGTCTGCTTCCCCATAGTCTTGGCCAACAGAATGTGCTGTCACATTATTTAATGTTTGTCCGTCTGACAGGTGAGAAATGATTTCTTAGTGTTGTCCTATTTTGCATTTCTCTAATTATGAGTGAGTTTGAACATTATTTGTATGTCTGAGGACCATTTTTATGTCTTGCTTTTTAGTGAATTGTCTGTTCCTGTCTCCTCCCCATTTTGCTATTTTGATCTTTTGCCTCTCAATTTTTAAGAGTTCCCTGTATTTGGGATATTAAACCTTTGCGGTACATGTTATGAATATGTTCTTCCAGATGGTCTCCTGTCTTTTGACTTTGTGGTGATTTAAAAATTTCAAAAATTTTATGTGGTAAGATTTATCAACCTTTTATTACCTCTGGAGTCTGAGTCATAGTTAGAAAGCTATTTCTTACAAAAAACTTAAAGAAAAATTCACCCTTGTTTTCCTCTGATACTTTAATGGCTTTATTTTTCACATTTAGATCCCTAATCCATTTGGAGTTATTCTTTTGTGAGTTATGGGATACGAATTTAATTTTATCTTTCTCTAAATGGCTATCCAGTCACTCCACCAACATTTATTTAAATTGTAGTGATTTGAGAAGCCAACTTTATCATATAATTCACATACGTGTTTGGGTCTAATTTTGAACTGTCTCTCCTATTCCACTGGTCAATTGTCTATTCAGGCACTAGCACCACACCGTTTTAATTACAGAGGCTTTATTGTATGTTTTAATGTCTGGTAGGACTATTCCTTATAGTTTTTCTTGGCTATTCTTGAAGGTATATTTTTCCACATGAACTTTGATAGTATTAACTTATCTGACTCCATAAAATAGCTTGATAATATTTTTATTAGGATTGTATTAAATTTATAAATTAACTTCAGGAGAACTGGCATATTAATAATGTTGAGTTATCCTCCCAAGAACAAGGGATGTTTTCGCATTTGTTTAAACCTACTTTTGTGTCTTTCAGGAGTGTTTTCAAATTTTCCTCATATATGCTTGTACTTTGTGTACTTATTAGAATTATTCCTAAGTATTTAATCTTTTTACTATTGTAAATGGAGCTTTCTCTACCCTCATATCCTCTGCTTATTGTTTATGTATAAGAAGGCTATTGATTTTCTTATATTAACATTGCACTGTGCTACTCTCTGAATTATTTGTTTCAGTTTTACCAATTCACTAGGCTTTTCCAGTTGTACTATTATATAACCTAAAAATAGAGATAACTTTCCTTTTTCTTTATGCGCTCTTTTGCCTCTAATTTCCCTTATTTAGTGATATGGGATAACACGTCTATTATAATTTGGAATAGTAGCAGAGATAGAGGGCATTATTGCCTTGTTTCTGATCTTACTGGAAATGTCTCAGGATTTCTCCATTAAATATCACCCTTTGGACTAAGGTATAACACACATGCACACACATTTATCCTATTAAAAAATTACCTCTTAATTATTGTTTAGCATTTTTGCAAATCTCTTTAATTCCTTACTTAATAATGGACAGCTGGAGTCTAGTATCCGCTCTGCGCTCAATCTGCTACAATATGTTGTTTTAGTTGAGGCATATGAAGAAAATATGGCCTCACACAGACATGGAAAAGGGAGAAAAAGGGGAAGCTTTTTCAGAATACTGAGTATATTCTCCTTTGGTATTTTTCCAAATCTTGACAAGTCATAGTTTCTTAAAGGTTAATTGTAATATGAAATCCAAAATTATATTAATGCATTTTTTGCATTGTCGTATTGTAATATTCAATACAATATTAAAATAGGCTAGTTTGTCTAACACTTTCAATGGATCTTCATCCATGACATGATTTTAAACATTATGTATTGGTCACTTGGAAAATACTAGTTCACCATATTATATAGATCTTCTAAATGCTGACACATTACATTATACAACATTTTAAAAAACCACACTTAGTAATACAACCATGTATCGCATCAGAAACATCTCTAGATACTGGTCAAAATTATGGTGGCAGATACAAGCTTTCCAAAACTCAAATTTTTATTAGAAAACCTGAATTTTACCAGTGACAATAAAGACTGTCAATTGTTTTCCTTGAAGTGACAAGTTCGATTTATTTGAGAACGTATCTGCCAAAGATAGAAGTTTTAACAACCACCATTTGTTTGTTAGTCACTCTTTCAAGCAAAAACTATGTTCCATGAAAAGACACTCACTTCAGCTGACAGCCCAGAGAAAGGCCTACGTGCTTTTCCCTGACACAGTCTCTGCACTTTGGTCTCTGCAGAAGTCACTTTATGCATGTTTTCCATTTGGGGCTTAATACAACTCCTAATTTTTACTGTCTCATCAGGGACATTCTTAAGTGAAGCTGGCATTTAAACACTTTTAAATAATGTATAATTGCTAGTGTGTAGTGATAAAGAGGACAGTTTGGTATCACTGCCATGATTCACGCTAACGCCCAGCAAGTTGACCCACCAAAGCTTTTTACGCCATCAGTGCAAATGTTGACACATGGGAAGGGGCAAACAACATCACAGTGTTATTATGAGAACAGGTTTAACTTGGTGTGCCCTTGAAGACATTTCAGGACTCCCCAGGTCCACAGATCACACCTGAGAACTGTGCTGCTCAATGCACTGCCATTCCCCTGAGTTTTTTCCCTTGTCTTGTCTGTTTTAAAATCCTTTTTCCATTGCCTCTATTTCTTTTCTTTTCTTTTTTTCTTTCTTTTCTTTCTTTCTTTCTTTCTTTCTTTTTTTGTCTGTCTCCCAGGCTGGAGGGCAGTGGTGCCATCTTGGCTCACAGCAACCTCCGCCTCCTAGGTTCAAGCGATTCTCCTGCCTCAGCCTCCCGAACAGTTGGGATTACAGGTGCGTGCCACCACGCCAGGTTAATTTTTGTATGTTTAGTAGAGACAGGTTTTGCCATGTTGGCCAGGCTGGTCTCAAACTCCCGACCTCAGATGATCCTGCCTTGGCCTCCCAAAGTGTTGGGATTACAGGCGTGAGCCACCATGTGTGGCCTCCATTGCCTCTAATTTTAATCAGATATTTGTGAGACCCAAGACTACGTCTCTAGTCAAGATGTTCCTCTGTAGCTCCAGATCTTGCCTTCACTTACCTACTGAAAAGGTCTAGCTCAGTCTCACAGGTCTTTCCAGCTAAATCGTGCCCAAATCTTTCTACCAAACATCCCCCTCTTTCTAGTCTCCATGGAAAGACCACTAATGACCTACCTCATATACATTCTCTCCTTCCATGCTAAGGAACCTTGATTTATTCAGAGTGGCAATGTGCCTGCTCCATTAGAGTTAGAGGTGTTCAACTGGCATGGCTCTGGCCTCTCAGATGGATGCAGAAGTCACGGGCAGGACTTTTGGGAACATTGCTTTCTATATGAAACACAGATATAATGGGGTAGGTCTAGCAGCCATCTCGAAAGGCAGGGAAACCAGGGCCACACAGTAAGGATTGTGGAGGGAAAGCTGGGAGAATGCGTCCTTCGTTACATCACAGAGCCCCTCTGCTAACTCTAGA